TCTGAAAAGTGGTTTACAGTACTAAGAATGGGTCATTCACTATAGAAACCAGTGGAGCCAGCAGGCACATTCCAATGTAGACTACACTTGTTTCTCATCTTTAGACCACTTTTCAGAACACACTGTTACATAAACCCCAGAGTGTCTACAATAATGCAACATGAGGGGTACTGTAAGTTGGGTGCAAGAACAGCCAAGGTTTTTGTAAAACGGCCTTACAACGGTTATACTAAAAACAGAGACTGCATACAGACACCTTTATGTATCCTAGTGAACTAGCCTTAGGGGTGTCCCCTTTCACAGGTCATATACCTTTATGTATCCTCTTTGCAAAAACAGAGGAGCCAGACTCTGGGTCCTGGAAGAACCTTGGTTTTTACTAAACCGCTCAAAAACAGTTTTACAAAAACCAGACTGCACTGAAATATTCACTGCAACATATAACCACTACTTGCAGCCATTATGGTGCTCATGGTATCAATGTTACACATCCCTGCTGTAGTGGTTACGTTGCAAGTAGTGCCCTGGTACTCTCCTAGAATATTTTGTTAAACCGCTTCATCAAACAGTAAGTTTGATGTTTCATGAGAGTTTCACTCTCAGAAAACGAGCACAGTCCTGTTTTGCTCAGTCTGCTGTGGCCCTTTACAACTTACCTGGGTCCTCCAAGCACCCATCACCACCTCTAGTGGAGCCAAATGCACTTTAAAGAAGCTTCTATTAGTGCCATTTAGGGCTGGCTCCCTGGCAGAGTTTATTAGCTGAACACCAACGTGCTTATTCCAGTGCAGGGGTGTCTGGCGGGTGACCCTATGTAGGATGTTACCATAACCACTACAGTGTTTCTTCAAGCTTTTGCAATATATAGCGACAGGACAATTTTCCTCTTACATGGGGAACAGAGCCAGGCGCTCCGATCATAAAAACCACTGCAGCAAACTGTGGTCACTATAGTATTTAGACTGCCCTGTTAACTCTTTATGCCAGTCACACTCAAATTATTATTATTATTATTATTATTACTGGCATTTACACACTCACAAACTCTGTATCTCTGTAAAGTGGGGAAATCACAGAGTTAATGTACAGGTAAGGATGGTTTTCTACTCAAGTCTTTGTATTATTCCAAGAGGTGGAGAGTGTTGATAATTTAGAGTTTCCAGTATTCCTGGATACATAGTAACAATGCTAGCTCCTGTGTAACTGAGTATACAGACCTAGTAAACGGGCATTCGTGTTACTTAAAGCACGCCTTTACTCCTAACCCCCCCTCCTCTCCGGACTGGCACAGTGTGACGGTAATAGCTGTAACCGGTACCTTAGCGGGCTGGGAGGTACACACGTCTTTCAATAGCCGGCTCGGCTCCGGAAGTGATCAGAATTGCCGTGGGAACGAATGTGCTGACCCGGAAGCAGAGGGCGCGGGATGCGCTGAGGTCATGCGCGCCCCCGCCCCCCCCTGGATGTGCACGCGCACTCCCATTGCAGGCAGCTTTGGGAAGCAGTAAAACAATACAGCTTACTGGATATCCCTTGTAATCAGTTTTATCTTGCTTTTTTTTTTTTTTCCCCACCCCCCTTTGATAATTTTTGTTTTCCCACTATAGTCTCTATACTGGAAACTCAATGTGTGCTTCAGGTTAATGTAAATGTTATTATTTTAATCTTCTTGGGGGCTCCAGTGGTTGAAGGTCAATGGGAGTATTTGCATTTTTTTTTAATAAATATGAAGTCTTTATTTTAAAATATAATAAATCGCACTTAACCCCTTAAGGACACGTGACATGTCACGATTCCCTTTTATTCCGGAAGTTTGGTCCTCAAGGGGTTAAAGGTTTGCGCAAACCATTATGACCCACTTCAGTGATTTGAAGTGATCATGGTGGAAGAGGTATGTGACGGAGAATGAATTATTTTACCTGTGCAATGCTTAGTGAATATTCCCCTAGACATACAGAGCTATAAATATATACAGGAACCTATGGATGTATTGCATACTGAGACGTGGATTTAAAGGACTACTATAGTCACCCAGACCACTTCGGCTCAATTAAGTGGTTTGGTTGCCAGGTCCCTCAGGTTTGAAAACAAGAATTTAAGCTCTCAATAGAGTAACCAAATAGGAGGCAGCAGTGAACCAGCAGGACTTCCCAATACCAACTTATGGTGACCCAAAATAGAAGAAAAACAGGATGGTAGAGCGCGCCAAAGATGCTCTAAGTGAATATGATAAAATAAGGGTGTATACATACATACAGGCAGTCCAATAGTTTAACGGTGTATATGACCCTCAAAGGAGATAAAAACAGGACAGAATAATAGTGCAGTATGCCATATAAATTATTTAAACACGAGTGTGTATATAAAACCAGATAAAAGACTAACTCACACTTTGCAGAGCTACTGAGAGCTCTGGTATATAGCGCCTGGACGGTGTAATCCCCAACTTAGGATATGTGGATAATGGCTGTGTTTGGAGTCCAATTCTCAGCAGCCTTATATGTGAGGAAAACAGAATAAAAATCCAATGGTACAGTATATCAAGGAAAATAGGTAATGAGAAAAGCAGGTATCCTACTTACGATTTCCAGAGCAATAACTTGCTCTGGTGATGTTAGCTTGTGGTGGCATAATCCCCACCAGAGGATATATATGATGAGCAGGAATCCAGTTTCTTCTGAAGAAGCCCAAACCCAGGCGAAGCGCGTAAAGTAACGGACTGTAAGTTTGTTTTTATATAGATTTTATTGTCTGCATTAAATAAAAGTTTATTTGGTTTCAGCTTTTTTCCTGGTGGAACTGGGCTATGCTATTATTCACATGAACTCACTATACACCAATTTGTCTTCTTAGCATGTCTCATGTTTCGGAATAAGATAAGTAACTCTCACTGCCTAGTACTTCCACCAGTCCTCGAGCCCAGGCCAGACCTAGCACCCCTGCAGAAAGTCTGGAGTCAGCTAGCCCTTGTTCCCTAGCATCGCTAGGCTCGCAGCTGAATTACGGTGCTTGGGATTTACACTCCCAGCCATAGCCCGCAAAGTTGAACTATTACTAACGAGTTTCAGTACACCCCAGCTGGGTGCTAGCTCACAAGCTGGAAACACTGACAATCCATCAGGAATTAGGAATATGATGTCCACTATCCTCACCTCTATTAACACCATTAATGTCCAACTGGTGAAGCTGGAAACTCCCTAATTACGGATGCCTAGCTCACCAACGGGGCTCCCTCTCACGGTAACATCTCTTTGAACCCTATACCTAGCACATCAATTCACATTATCAATCCTGCTCACTTATTGCTCCTGACCATATTGAAAGACATCCTGGAAGGTAAGGATGGAAACTTAGTTTCTTTGCTAATTGCCTCCCAGGAGGTCATCGTAAACATGGCTTACTGCTATGGTGATCTATATGTTGTTTTAAAGGATCACCATAGGGTCAGGAACACAAACATGTATTCCTGACACTATAGTGTTAAAACCACCATCTAGCCCCCCTGGGCCCGTCATGCCTGAATAAATATAGCAAAATCTTACTGTATTCAAGCCAGAAGCTGTAACTCTGCATGCTGTTTGCCTTAAAAAAAAAAAAAAAAAAAACAAGCAGTCTCCTGACATCATCAGAAGTGGTAGCCTGATCCAATCACAGTGCTTCCCCATAGGATTGGCTGAGACTGACAAGGAGGCAGATCGGGGGCAGAGCCGAGCCAGCATGATTCAAACACAGCCCTGGCCAATCAGCATCTCCTCATAGAGATGAATTGAATCAATGAATCTCTATGAGGAAAGTTCAGTGTCTGCATGCAGAGGGAGGAGATACTGAATGTTTGGATGCATTTTAGGCAGCCATGACCCAGGAAGGATCTCTAACAGCCATCTGAGGAGTGGCCAGTGAAGTTATCACTAGGCTCTAATGTAAACACTGCATTTTCTCTGAAAAGACAGTGTTTACAGCAAAAAGCCTGAAGGTAATGATTCTACTCACCAGAACAAATTCAACAAGCTGTAGTTGTTCTGGTGACTATAGTGTCCCTTTAAAAGCCAGAGATCACAGATTTAACAGATAACTCACTATTCCTGAATTTCTCTTCACATTTTGGACTTTACCAATAAGTAATTTGCTCCACATCACATCACTGTAGGGAAGAATTGAATCTCTACTTTCATAAGTTGGTGGACCTGGGGCACAAGTACAGTGGAATTACATTCGTCGACTTTTTCTGCCAAGACTGCAGCGTCCAGCTGGACATAGAGTTGTTCTGTCGTCACTTTGCTGGTCTCAAACCACTGTCTTGTGCCATATGTGGTTCCATCTCCCATTCCACCAACCTATGCCCAATGGATCCTCCAGTTCTTCCACTGCTGAACACGGAGGCCCATTGTGTACCTGTGCAAAGCTCAAATCTGCAACAACTTCAGTTCTGGCAGTTGCAGATTTAGCTCATGCACATTGCTGCATTTCTGCTCCATTTGTTACAGGGCACATACCAAATCTATGTGCCCTGACAGACTGTACCCAAAACAATGACTAACCGAAGTTAGTATTGACAACCTGGCATATTACCTCCAGGCACACCCATCCCGTCACTTAGTCAACTTTCTTTTCCAAGGTTTCACGGAAGGTTTCCACACTGGTCTCACCGCACTTCCCTCAGGTATTCAATAGTGTGTAGCCACAGGAAAATTAATCAATAAAAGACGACTCTTTATCGATTTATCTGCTCCACATTCATTGTCTACTCTAAGTCTTCACTCGTTGACTCCCTTTGAGGAAATTTCCTCGCATTATGCCACAGTGGCAACTCCATTCATGCTATCTTGAAGGCTGGTGTTGGAGCTTGGTTGAGAAAAACTGATATATCCAATGCCTTCAAGCTATTACGAATACACCCATCCCTGTGCATGTGCACAGTCTAAAGTGGAGAGATCAATACTACTTTGCCTCACATCTGACATTTGGAGCAAAAAGCAGCCCCAAATCAATTTATATGTTTACTTACACCCTATGTTAGCTCCCCATTAATAATTGTGAATGTCCTACTGTTATACACTGTTTGGATGCCTTTCTCAATATAGAAGACCCTCATACCACTCCTCTTAGCATTTACAAGACTATGGCACTTTTTTCATCCCTAGGGTTCTGCTTTCACAGGACAAAACAGTGGGTCCTTCCACTGACCTGGTGTTCCTGGGAACACAACTAGACACAGTCACATTACAATCAAATTTACCAGTTGAGAAGGTACAGCGTATCAGGCAGACCGTGGAATCCTTTCTTGCAAAAGGCACGTGCACTAGGGCAGATCTACCATCTTTACTGGGCACGTTGAACTTTGCAATTCCTCAGGACTGTGCTTTTTGTTTCCCGACTGCTGTGCCTTCTTCCCTTCACACCAAAGCCGATCTTACCATGTGGCTCAAATTCCTGTTCCATTGGAACGGGAAGGCTATGTTAAACCCTCCCCTTTCAGATTATTCCCCTGTAATTTGGACAGATGCTGCTGCCTACTTAGGTTTTGCAGCTATCTTTGGCGACTTCTGGTTCCGTGACCCATGGCCAGTAGAAACCCTTTGTCTATGCTCATTGCATACTCCAATCGTGATCGCCACTAAGGCATCAGGGTACCTGTGGTAGAGCAAAGCAGTATATTGCTTTTCAGATAATAAGACCGCTTGCGCCATCATAAATAAGGTCAGATCCTCGTGGGCGTGGCCTGATAGCCAACCCAGATAGTCGCATGATACTGGAGCTCCTTGAGTTAGTTTTTTGGCACTATCCTACACATTTCCATTGAGGGGCACTTTGTAGAGTGTGTGGGCTGCTTCAGACCGATCTAGGTGGGCACAACTTTTGCGACCTGCGGACGTACTCGGAGCGGGAGAGGCAGCCGATCCTCCGCCCGGGACTGGAAAGCACACACTGTTGTGCCCTGTCTCCCACCAGGGGTTATCCCGGTCCCTATTGGCGTATTCTCATGACTCAAGATGGCCATCGCGCAGCAGCCTGCAGTTATACAACCCTTCCCACTGCCATCTACATACTTTTGCCGGTCAACTTTTGGGAGCTCCAACGCCCACAATATGGGGTGCTCCGCCTGGCTCTCAGGTAGTGTTTGTTCCCCTTGTTCCCTCCAAAAAGCGTTCTGGCGGGTTGCAAAGTGGTTCAAAACCCTGGACCAAGTTGTCCCGGAACCGCACGGTCACCTCATGCCAAAAAGAGTTCAATAACATTTGCGGCTAAGTACCGCTAAGGTGACCGGGGACCCACAAAGTCTTCATGACTAAATTAGTTCCATAGTGTATTGCGGCTAAATACCGCTGAGGACTATTCATGGATTTGGTTCATGCGAACGGCTGCCTGGGAGCTAGCGTTCGGTTCCATTCGAATTAAGGGAAAGTGCGAACCGGGGGCACCCAGGGAAAGCTGCTAGAGGCGGCTGGGCAGGGTAACTCCCGAACGGGGTCTCAGACCTGGACCATAGTCGGTGGGCAGGAGGCCAGCTTCCACACTCCTTTAGGAGCTTGTGGCAAACGTCCGAGGAAAAGAGCGTTTGACACATCTACAGTATAAGGAAAGTGATGACAAATTGATTCAGCCAGTGAGAGACTTCGCATTCATTAAATATTTTAAGAATAACAATTTGGATATGTAGCAAAATATAGCTTTATCAATTATTATTATCAAGTTTGATTTCTTGTGTTAACTCCCCATTATTACCTTTAGATTGCAAGCTCATAATTTATCTACCTAAGCACTTTTTATAAAACTATTGTAAATGCTAGATTGTAAGCTCACTGGCAGGTTTCTCTGTTCATTTTGTATTTTTTCCTTTTATTATTTTTCTGTAATCCCTCTATTGTACAACGCAGTGGAATGTGTTGGCACTATGATATTAAGTCAATAATAATAATTCCTGGGCATATATTTTAAATTACCTTTAATAAAATTTTTTTTTAAAAATAACAGGAAAATAGGATATTTTAAAAGGATTACAGAGACAATTTGCTCAGTTTGAAAAAGAAAAGCGAGAGAACCGTAAAGAGCAGTTTAATTCAGAGTTGTTGTTTTTGTAGGTCTACAATGCTTTTACTTTAGTCATGTTTTCTAATATGGTAATACAAAATAAACTAAAAACTGATTAATTGTCTTTTCCAGAAGTTAAAGAAAGGTCATACCACATCAAACCTGCCAAATTCATGCTCCAGAGAAGAAAGCTTCCTTCTATTACAGGCATCTTTTAATCTTTGTCGGATATGGTTAAAGCTAGCAAACTAACCACATCAACAATATTTAACAATCGCTGGCAACCACCGTAAAATGAACTTAAATGTCAATGTTTCTCCCTGGCAATTGGACATTCTAGAACAGGATGGAGGCAAAATGACAAACCAAACAATAAAATTTGACGTGATTTATATATTCACAGCAAAAACACTGAGTAATATTAATGTGTGATCATAAATGTACATCCTGTAAAAAAAAAAATATATATATACATGAACAAGATAAAATAAATATAGATTTGAGATGAACCAAAAAAAAAAATTTCTGGAGAGAAAAAACAAAAAACTGTAAAAGGATTCCAAGCACAGGAAACTTCTAGTTAGGACTGTTAACCACCTTAAGCATGCATTGTCATATAATTTAGTGCACCTGTGGAGCTAAATGGATACTGTCATATAATTTAGTGCACCTGATGAGCTAAACGGACATGGACTGGCACAGAGCAAGTTGCATGTATTCACCATACTGCTTGAAAGGAACATTATAGTGTCAGGAATGCAAACCTTCATTACTAACTCTGTAGTATTCTCTTCTGCATTTTGTTTAACCCATTAAGGACACATGACATGTGTGACATGTCATGATTCCCTTTTATTCCCGAAGTTTGGTCCTTAAGGGGTTAAAGTCCCCAAAATCTAAATAAAAATGGGAGGAAAGTGTTTTACTCGCCTTTTTTCCAGCGCTACTAGATCCACTTCCCATAACGTCACACCAACTCTTTTCCTTCTTCAAATACAATGCTCCTTATACAGGAGCATTGGGGATAAAAAGATCATGTGTGGCCTGCACTGCTCTCCTTCAGTGGAATGGAGGTTAGATACAGCAGTACTTGCATTGCAGGGTTAAATATGCCTCTAGTGGCTGTCTTTCTTACAGACACTACAGACACTAGAGGTGCTTCAGCTGTGAGAACCGAGTCAAACTGTTCTGGGCATATGCAAATATTACAAGTTTTAGAATGAAAAATTGTATTTCTTAAACTGTGTACTTTGTCTTTAAGAGATTTTGCAAACTGACAAGTTGTTAGAATGGAACATCTTGTTTTTCATACAATGGTTTTCAAGCTTTAGAACACCATCTTGTCCTAGGTTAGAGTAATTCCCCAAGTCAGGGAATTTCCCATGTCATGTGCATGCTTACGTTTTAGTCTAAACATAAATAAGATGTTCCCATGTGAAATGACCGAGTTATAGCTTCATATATTTGCCAAGTTAAGGTTGGTCCTAAAATGACCTAAATGAACATCTAAGGTATAAATATGTGTATGTATTAACATTAGGACACAGAGGAGAGATCTTGGAGACAGAGATACTGGATTTTATCATGACTGATGGAGAGCTTGACATGTTCAGGAGGGTATGTTATTCTATTTTACTGATATTGCAAGCATATACTTTAATCTTATAAACGCTGCTATGCATTATTGTAATGGATTATTAAGGTTTTATATGACAAAACTTTATTGCTTCCAAGAGAATCCCTATTTTATTTTGTATTCTCAATTATTTATATATTTTAAATAGAGGAACTCTTACTAACTATATAATATTATGGCTAAGATATCTGTATGGTCAGCCCTGCTAAATTCTATGATTTAAGACATTATAGTAGTAAATAGGGGAACCGGCTGCGGTTACAAAACTATTATTACCATATCTACTAAGCCGCAATGTCTTACATGGCAGGGTTAACTAAAGGACCACTGCACCCGGACCACTTCATTGATAAGAAGTGGTCTGGGTGTCTTTAATGGTTCTGGAAGAGCAAGTACATTATGCCATACATGTATCTGCCACTGTAGTTATCTAGGAACTGTTGGTTTTTAACACTAGAGATTAGCTCTCATTTTAAACCAATTAAAACATTAAATACAGACATTCAAATATTGCAATTCAAGGTACTGGGTATGTTTACTACTCACAAAATAATCATAGAGCTAACTGATGACTTGGAATACCGATAAGAAGTATAATTGTTAAAATAACATATGAACTGTTTTGCAAATAGTTTTTACAGGATGCTATTGGAGCCTAATTTATGTATATAGGAGCACAAACCTCAGTACAATGCAAATGTATGTAAAGGGTGCAATCGTAGGGATAACCACTTCCCATTGTGGTCAAAACATAGACATTTACAGACATTTAAAATCAAATAGATCAAATCTAATAATTTTATATGGTTTTCACAACTATAGAGAGCTCACTCAAAAAAATACAAATAAAACAAAAGAAAATGGCCCGTTTAGGAGCCGACCAGAGAGGCATTTCTGGAGATCTTTAACTGTTCGATTTGCATATACTTCAGGATTCGGGAGAGGATCGACAGTCTGATTCTCATAGACATCAGGATTCGGTTGACGGAACCTGCCGAAGTGAAAGTCGGCTGGGAGCGCAGAGTGTTCCTGTCAATTTGGTAATTCAGAGAGTGGACAGACCTGACTTGCTGCTTCAGACCAGTGAGAATAATTGCGCTCGCGCTTGGCAATCTGCACAGTTACCGTCAGGGTCTCATGCCCAGCAAGGTGAAGTCATAGGTCTGCTTAGGGCAATCTTAGATAAACTAACTCCTAGCGCAGCGCATACAGGTAGCAGCGATTCTCTTGCAACTCTATTCCTATGGGTGCGGAGGTTACCGTTACTGCCCCCTCACCTGGCCCAGTTTTTGAAGTGTCCCCATTGGGTCTCCACGTGCCTACAGAGGTTAAGGACAAAATTTTGATGGGTGAGTTTGTAGATCTCTTATCTCTCATACCTGTTGATAAGGAAACAGTGGACAGACCGCGTAGTGGTGATCCATTGGAAGGGGAAAAGGGTAAGCAGCTTCCTTGGACCTTCGTAAAATGGCTCCAAGATTTTGTTACTTTTGCAAGTATACTATCAAGTAAGTTTCCGGGACAGGCCCCTTCCCTGCTTG